CATAACAACCTCATACCTTCACTCTGCCTTCCCCGAGCTGCTTTTCTGTCGCTCTGCAGGCAGCCTTTTGTCAGCAGGGCTCCTTGCAGCAGTGGTGTCATTGCTGAGTTGAGGATGTGCCCGGAGCGTCGGGTGAAGAGCTGTCCCTCCCAGTGCTCTCTACGCTTGCCTTGAATACAGGGGAAAAAAAGAACTGTCTGTCTCACACCCGGGGCAAGGATGGTCTTGGCTCACTCCCAGTTTTAAAGCTGGCCCACGGCTGGTCTGTCTGTCGTGTGAATGGCAAGATTTTCCTTTAAACTCTGAAGGTAAAACCCACTGACAGTTATGCCTACATTTCTGGAGCTTTAAGGTGCTTGTGACAGCTTGTAGGAGTGTTACGCTGTTTGCTGGATTTGATTTCTGTCCTTTACTGCTGTGGCTGGTGTCAGGTACTGATTTGTCCAGATCCCATGTGGACAGTAGGGTTATGGTCCTATCCTGTGTGTGAGAGACTCAGTCCAGTGGCTGGGCTTTCCCACCTCCAGTCCCTCCTGGACCGCGATTCCTGTCACACATGCTTCAGAAATGAGTTGCCAGCTTCACCAGTTTCAGAGGCAAAGGATACACTCCTAAAATGATTTTGAAATAATTTAACACTCACCTGGTGTGAGGCATCCCACCTAAGGGGTGTTGTGTTCCCATGTGGTCTATAGCACTCCACAGTGCAAATACTGATAGAACGGATTCTAAAATGCAGAATTTTACTTCATTTGTTTCCCTTAAATGTTAATAAATATGAGTTTCCTGGAGTGAGAGAAACTGTGCTCTTGGCAAAAATTTCCCGTACCAAATTTCCTGTTTGGCCACAGTGTGTGGTCCATCAGATCCCAGGCCTTTCAGCTGTTCTCTTATCAGCCCAGTTCTTTCTAAGAGCATGGGATCACCCTCATATATACCACAAATACTCTGCTGCTAGAATCTCTGTGTTTTGTGGATGAGTAATAGTTGGAGAATGACACGTTTTCATATTTAGGAGATGGTTTCACACACTTCTAATTGTGTTTTCATAGCCCTTGGCTGGCAAAATCCACTTAGAGTGAAATAAGAGATGTCAGATCAGGAGAATGTGGTGAGATGTCTGAGAAATGTGTTTCTATAAAGGCAGCGGTCAGAAATAAGAAAAGAAGTCATGCTAAGATGTGGGGAAAGATGGAGGGTTCCTGTGCTAGGTTAAAACATGGTCTAGTCCTCTTCTTCCTTGAACAGCAGGAGTGTGAAACAAGCACTCTGGGTCATGTCCTGTCCTCTCCTCCCCTGTGTGTGGTTACTCCTGGTCTTTCTCATTCAATCCTCTCTTCCAACTCCCGTTCCTCCCCTGATGTACTGGCTTGGCCAAGCAGTGGTAAACCCAATATGGAGGGTGCAACTCGTTGCCTGTACCAGCGTGGATGTCCAATGTACAAATGAGTCTCATCCACAACTAGGAACAGAAGTGTGATCACTTTGTTGCAAGTCTTGAACAAATGCGAACAATTGTATTTATTTATTTATTTATTTATTTATTTATTAACAAGCACTGGAACAGGCTGCCCAGGGAAATGGTTGAATTGCCATCCCTTCATGTGTTTAAAAGTCACGTAGGTCTGGTGCTTAGGGGCATGGGTCTAGCAGTGAACTTGGTAGAGTTAGGTTTATTGGTTGTACTTGATGGCCTTAAAGGTCTTTTCCAACCGAAAAGATTCTATGATTTTTCGCCCTTTTTTCAGTGAGGGTCTCATGTATTCCTGGTGGGCATGCGGTGTATGAAGAGATTATTTCAATTTCTCAGACTGGGATTCATAAAAATAGCTTCTTAAAAGAAGCAATTTCAGATTGGGATTTTACTCTGGACATCATGTGGCTCTTAACAGCACTGAATGCTTATTTCAAACTGGTCGCCACTGAAGTGGCGTAATGGCATAATGATGTGTCTTGTCAGGACTGGATCCAGCTGTGGCTTGGCCTGGTGGACACACAGCTGTTTCACTGCCACATGGCTGCCCGGTTGCACATGTGCTCTTCAATCTGTGGAGAGACTTCATTTCCCTAAGGCCCCTGCTCCCCTGTCCCCATGTGTTGCTAGTGGCTGCCAAAGAAAATGCCTGCAAGAACACTGGAAATATGATTTAAAGCTATTTGTAAATAAAATGTTTCAAGAGGTTTAGACCAGGTTAAACCTTCCTATATTTTGTAAGCTAAATTACTATACTAGTTTATAATCTTCCCCTCAGAGAACTTGCTTTCAGTCAGTCTCCACAGGTAATCAGTGCCATCTCTAAGTAGTGCTCTCGCTTTTTAGCAGGTTCTGGGGTAGTGGTTTTTACACTTCCAGCAGTGCAATGTAATGTCATCTGTATGATGCTCCTGAGCAGGTAAATCTGCTCTTCTGATTTTTAGTCATTCTTGAATTTTATTTCAGGACATAACTTGGCAAGATGAACACTCGGCTCCCTTTTCCTGGGAAACAAAGGTAAATATGCAGCAATTTTATTGTTAATGTTGGCTTGTCGTTTTATACTGTTCCTTCTGTGTTTATGTTATCCTCGTTTTGAGACTTGATAGACTAATGCCACCTTTATTCTGTGACAGCTGTGTAAAGTGACCATCCTGAAAATGAAGTGGGAGTGGTGTGCTTTGATTTACATCAACAGAAACACAAAATGTACTTACCTTATGAGCTAACATTCTGGCCTCAAGTGCAGCTATAAAACTGATTCATTACAAATAATTGGATTTTGCATTGTAAACTTTTAAAACAATTTCCCATGTCTAGCAAGACCAGTGTCTCAGATATTGTGTAAGCGTAACTGCATTTCACTTCTGAAGTCAGGAATACAGTAGCTAGGAATTGGGGTGAGAAAGGTACAGATATTTAGTAACTTAATTGGACTCTTTCTTAAAGCCTTTTCCATATTTCATCTGTTTATTATGTACTGTAATGTAATGAAACTTGTTAACCTGGAGCTATGCCTGAAGCATTGTGTTATTTCCTCTCCAAAACGCAGCTCCTTCAAAAAATAATGTATTTTTTCTGTGGCAGGTTGTTTTTGGATCGGTTAGTTGTTTGGGTTTTTTTAGCTCCCTTTACCTCTGCTATTTTATTAAAACATTGTTTATGGTGGGATTTTCATAAGGCTAACACAGCACCAGAGTTCTCCATATTTGAACCTGCAATGTGAGGAAATACAGTTGACCATGCTTGTGGTAGGAAATCAAGTTTAACTCTTGTTGAAGAAAAATCTGGAATCAAAAACATAGCTGTTAGCCTTTCTCAACTGGGTAGGGTGGGCATGTTAATTTAATCATATATTTCAGACTGTGTGTTTTCTGGCTTAATCTGCCAGAGAAAGCTGCTTCTCCCCCATTTCTTCCATTTTTTGCCCTTGAACTATGTAGATAATCGTGTATGAGCTTATGAATATGATCTTAGCCTAATGCAGAGTAATTATTTGGAAATGCCAGTGAATACTAAATTAATCCGGTTGACCCGAGACATGCCAGCCTTCCCTGCTCAAGGTCACTGCCTGTAGCTAGCACCCCATCTGTGCTTTGCAGATGCTGATTAACCTATAATTTGATGTGACTCCTGGGTCCCTGCAGCCTACAGTGCTGGAGTCTAAGAGAAACCATTGCTAGTCTTCAGTTGCCTTAAAAATCCCTTATATGCGATGCTGTTTCAGGAGCCAGTAGAGGATTTTGGTTGGACTTGATCTTAAACATCTCTTCTGATCAAAACTATTCTATGATTTCCTGCAGTGGGAGCTTGGTAGCTCAGGCAAGCCCTCCTGTCTTTCAGGGCCCTTAGGAGAAGCAGCCACTGGTTTTTAGCAGAATACTCAAGAGGCTTTTAGCATGGGTATACTTGAGTGAAGCTGTAGAGAAAAGAGAAGTAGTAAGAAGAGCATGGACCTCATTGACAATAAGGTGAAATAAATCCTATGTTGGAGACAGCAGTGTTGTCACTTGCATAGCTTTTGGCTCAAACCCTAAAACTTGGTTTTGGGAATGCGGCAGCTGTAATGGTATTTCTAAGCTGTGTCTTGATAGGATTTAGAAAGTTCTGGATACTTGAACTTCCTACAGGTAGTGCGCTTACTGGGGAACCACGATGAGATGAATCTGCACTCAAATGGATTTTCTCTTTAATTGATAGTTGTTTTTTCTTTTAAATGCATGTGTGTCTAGTGAAGTGTTTTTTCAACTGAGCCTGTGGTTTATCTCATGCTGATTATTTTTACTATCCTACTGATGACTCAAAATGAGGAAGCACAACGGATAGATGCTCTAGTTTCACACTTTCTGTAATGCATGGAGAATCGCAGAAAGTGTGACTGCTGAAGAAAAGTGTGGTGAGGAGGAGGCTGCTTTAGAAATAATTGCCTCATCTAATCAAGCGGTGCTTCCCTGTCCCCCTCCCCTCCCTTCTTGGTGACCGGAGATAAAAGCTGTGCCTCAGCTGTAGGTTAAAAAGTTGCATGACTTTTTCTTTTAGCACAACTCTAGAGAATCCACTTTTTCTGGCTTTATGGGGTGTGCAGTAGTTGGCTTATGTGGGTTCTTCCTTTTTTTTTCCCCACCTCGTAGTGCCTCATATTGTGTCAGTCTTTCAGCCAAATCCTTCAGCTGCTGAGTCTTCCATTTCCAAAGGTGGAGATCTTACTTCATGCTCATTCTTTGATCTCTTCCGTAACCAGCGCTTTAATAATACAGTATTGGAAGGCAATTGCTCCATGAGATACTGACTGAGGAAAAATTAGCCTTGCCCAATCAGTCCAGCAAGGGGAGACAGTGAAGAAACCTGAATGAGTTGTTTGATAAGGTTGGCATGTTGTAATGGACCCTTGGTATCTTGTGAGCCACATTTCTGTTCCCACTGTTATTTCAGGCTATCAAGCTCTTTCCATTCCTACTGCATGAGATCTACCCCATGATAGGTTATTCTTTCCCTCATATTC